TATGGCTCTTAATGAGCCAAGCACATGCCATCATCGTATCGCTAGCTCAACCGAGTGAAAGTCAGCCTCATGAAATATGAGCGACAACGAAATAACGACTGGCTGCTATTAGCTATATGAACTGGGACTTGGTCAGTATGCTGAGATTTCTGGCTATCACGAAAACTAAATTATGTGCAACAACAACAACAACAGCAGCAGCAGCGAATGCAACTAACAAACGTAGCAGAAAATTGTTAGAGTGTTGGACTAGGAGATACCCTGAAATGGGGAATAGTTAAGGTTGGACTAGAAGATAATTGGGAGCTTGTAAGAGTTGGGATTGGGCTAGGGCTAGTATGAGTTAAGGCTGGAATGGAAGATACCTTGAAATTAGAAAGAGTGAAGAAGAAGACATCCTGAAATTAGTAAGAGTGAAGAAGTGAATAAGAAGAGATCTTGAAACTAGTAAGACGGACTATTGCACTGGAAGATATTGTTTATAGAGAAGAAGTTTATAGTCTGTGTATTCATTTAGAGATTTTAAACAGCAATTTTTAAGTTCTTAAAATTCTGCTTTATTAACAAATTTCAAATATTGGTATATATTAATTATAAATAGATTTAAAAATAAATAAATATATATACAGTGAGTAACACTCATATTTGTTTATAAATAGATACAAATCAAAGCCTCCCCCTCTTGTAGCTGTTAAAATCAAYGAGTTCAAATAAACAGCTGAAAAAGGCTAGATCAAGTCAGCTGTTAATGCTATCCAAGCATATGCCTCAGCTCCTGCAGCCTGTTCCATATATTTCCGCTCAAACATTATACCCCATTGGCGAATTTAAAAATGTTTGAGGGTATTCAAAACGAAACGAAACGAAACGAAACGAAAATAAAACCGGAACAGGCGCTGAGGCAGGTTTTGGCTGTGTGAACTGCTTGCAATAGGCCGGAAAATTGGATCAGATTTCTTATCGCAATGCGTCAAAGTTTTGTTGTTTTCCATTTTCTTATTTCTTATTTTTATTTTTATTTTTATATATAAAATCCTGCAGGCGGGTAGAACTCATTCGGCATGGGCACACACAAATCATAGAGCCCAACGGGCCTCTGGTTCGCGTTCATTAAGTGGATCGATGATTAAATTAATGAATGGCTTTCAGCAGCTCTTTGCGCCAGGTGTTGTTGCTATTGCTGTTGTTGTTGCTGTTGTTGTTGCTGCAGAGCTTTCGCAATCAATCATAGCTGCACTCCAGCTCAGCTCTCTGGGGGTAGTGCGACGGCGTTGTCGAGCGTTTACTGTTACTTGACATTGACTTGAGCTTCAGTTTCACTCGCTATCCAACTGTCGCTTAGTCGCAATTTATGTTTTCCTGTTGCCCAAAAGCCCAGCCACAAAACGCGGCCACAGCAACACCTCAAGCTAAACAGGCTACAAAAAAAAAACGCAACTGCATTCAATTCAACAGCAACAACCGCAAAGTGATGAACATGCGAGCGGCTCCTTGAGTAAACCTCAAGTTCGCATGTCGAGCCATCGCACAATATAAATGTACAGTGAAATCAGCCATGAGCGAACAGCAGAGCTTGCACTACATTTAATTTATATTATATATTAGCCTATGTTAAATA